CTCAAATTCTGTTATGGTTTGCACAGATAATGTAAACTAATAACAATAACACACAAAAAAACTGAGAGAATAGCCTATAAGAATACCTCATTTGGTTAAGAATCTCACACATGTAAAATATTCACAAAATGAAATATATATATATATTTATTTACTGAACCTTCATTAATACTGAGCAAACAATGACAAGTAAGCAGCAACAAAGACATGTGTTCAAAGAAGGTTGGGAAAGAGTTTTCTCTTAGCAACTTGCTCAGTAGGCTACCTGATGATAACAATAACAATCATGATTAACTATATGCCATTCCAAACACTTTACTTAAATCTATTCATTTAACCTTAACAGGTACCGACTTCATAGCCTAGGAGGAAGAGGTTAAGTAACTAGCCCAAGGGTTGCATAGTAGTAAAAGCTGGAATTTGAAAGAATGCAATCTAGCTTCATTGCCCTGGCTCTTAACACTATCTACCTAGTACTTCTAAAAGAAAATTATAAAGACCAAGGTTATTATTTTAATTTTTAAAAATGTTTTGTTTATTTTCGAGAGAGAGAGAGTGAGAGAGACACAGTGCAAGCCGGGGAGGGGCAGAGGGAGAGGGAGACACAGAATCTGAAGCAGGCTCCAGGCTCTGAGCTGCCAGCACAGAGCCCGATGCAGGGATCAAACCGCGAATCATGAGATCATGACCTGAGCCAAAGTCCGGCACTTACCCAACTGAGCCACCCAGGCGCCCCAAGACCAAGGTTATTATTAAAGAACTTCAAGAACAAGAGAAAACATCATAATGAAATACTGAAAAGATAATGTATCTCTGAATACCAACAAACTCTTTAGCAATTTCAGTTAGACTAGCTGGGACAGGATTACTCAATGGGTCACCCTTGCTTAATTTAAAAATGCCTTAAGCTTTAAATGCCTTAGTCTTTTATCTGACACAGAAAAGTGTCTCCTGTTCAAATTTCCAAAACCTTCAAGGAGGATAATATTTTTAAATGAGCTTTACCGAAGGGTTTACATAATATATAATATCAGTTCGGCAAACCCTAAACACAGTTGCTTTCCTAGAGTTTCTTGAAGCAATAAACTCTAATAGTTTACCCCTCAAAATACTTGCAAGTCTGTGAAAGCAGATTATTAACTAATACAACAACAAACTCATTATCACTTAATTCATTAAGCTTGTTTCTGAGGTTTAGTAAAGATTCTCTAATCTGGAGTTTATGTCTGTACCAAAGAGAGAGAGAAACGCCAACAAAAAGCACTGGGCAAAAAAACAGTGATTATTAAGTATTTGGCCGTATAATCTCCAAAAATGGCGAGAGACTAAACAGGTTTTATGAAATCAGTGGAAACGAAACAGTTCTCAATAAGAAAAAAAATGAACTATTCTACACTGGCTATTTACCCAGAATAAAATAGAGAAATGGCTCAATAAATTAACAGATAATTAATATAACAGAATATTAAAATCACAAATAGTTTGGGGAGATTTTTTAACAGGAACAAAGAAATTAAAACAGCTTCTTCCTTATTACCAACAACATTTACTCAGTAGAGAAACATGTTACAAAGATACTCTGTCTTTTCCACTTGTCAGAAAGAAGACACCTTGATATCTGATAGTAATGCAGCATGAACTCAGAAAAACTGTTCTGAAGAACAGAACTAATTTTCTTTCTTTCTTTATTCCATTCACTGCAAATCTTGGCAAGCACAGTGTTTTTGTTTTCCTAGAATTTATAAGAATAAATCAGCTAAGGGGTGCTTTGGTGGCTCAGTTGGTTTAAGCACCCAACTTGGGCTCAGGTCATGATCGTGTGGTTCATAAGTTTGAGCCCCACATAGGGCTCTGCGCTGACAGCTCAGAGCCTGGAACCTACCTCGGATGCTGTGTGTCTCTCTCTGCCCCTCCCCTGCTTGCGCTCTGTCTCTCTCTCTCAAAAATGAATAAAAACGTTAAAAAAATTAAAACAAGAATAAATCAGCTAAAAAGGGAAAAATGTATACACACATATAGATCCCTTTAATACATAGAAGAAACTATTTTCATGCAAACTGGAAAATAATACCAAACCATAAAAAGATGCCTGGAAACAACCTTAGAAGAACAGAGAAAAGACTTGTAATTTCATTTCCAGTTCAGGGTGTGGCACTACCTAAACCATATGACCTCAGGCAAGCCAATTACTGATTGTTTGTGGGGCTCAATTTTCTCCTCTGTTAAATGGGAAGAATATAACTATATGTTCATAGAGATTGCTTCTAATTCTACATATTGCTTTCAGTAGGCTTTGGTGAAATGATAACGTTTTTTACTTAATAGAAGTAAGTAATGTTATTTCTAACCTTTAGTTAACTATATGTAAGCACCAAAAACTTCAACTTCCTCTGCATTTGGAAATTCTTTTTCTTTTTTTTTTTTTTTGAGGAGAGAATCTCTCTCTCTCTTTTTTTCTTAAACATTTTATTTTATTTTTTGGGGGAGACACAGAGCTAACAGGGGAGGGGCAGGGAGAGAAGGAGACACAGAATCTGAAGCAGGCTCCAGGCTCTGCAAACCCTGAGCTCTGAGCTGTCAGCATACAGCCTGATGAGGGGCTGGAACCCAAGAACCGTGAGATCATGACCTGAACCAAAGTCAGACACTCAACCAACTGAGCCACCCAGGCACCCTGAAAGAGAGAATCTTTTTTTTTTCTTTAATTTTTTTTAACGTTTATTCATTCATTATTGAGAGATAGAGAGAGACTGAGCATGAGCAGGGGAAGGGCAGAGGGAGGGGAGATGCAGAATCCAAAGCAGGCTCCAGGCTCCGAGCTGTCAGCACAGAACCCAATGAGGGGCTCGAACTCACAAACCGTGAGATCATGACCTGGGCCGAAGTCGGATGTCCAACCAACTGAGCCACCCAGGCGCCCCAGAAAGAGAGAGAATCTTAGGCAGGCTCCAAATCCATCACAGAGCCCAATGGTGAGATCATGACCCAAGCCAAAAGCAAGAGTCAAATGCTCAACCAACTGAGCTATCTAGGTGCCCTGCACTTGGAAAAAAATTTTTTATGTCTATTTATTTATTTTGAGAGAGACCACCCATGGGAGGGAGTGGCAGAGAGACAGAGACAGAGAGAGAGAGAGAGATGAGAGAGAGAGAAAATCCCAAGCAGGCTCCACACCAGCAGCACTGAGCCTGACCTAGGGCTCGAACTCAAACTGTGAGATCATGACCTGAGCTGAAATTAAGTCAGACATTTAACCGACTGAGCCACCCAGGCAAACCCTTGCACTTGGAAATTCTTAAGTGACAATACATGATGACCAAGAGAGATCAGATTTAAACTACCAAATGCAAAACTATACTCATTTTCTAGTCACCTACTTATTAACCACGATGACTAATGCAATGGGTTACAGTATGAAACTATTCGTAGGTAGCTTTTATTGGGTCCAAAACTAGGGCAAAGATCATCTCAGAAGTGTGTGATAATATTTTCAGATAAGTAACACTTAATATAAAACATCAAACTGTGAAATGATACAAAGCAACAGTATTCTGCAGTGATATATTTCCAGCTTTCAGAGTAAACGGACACGATCACCATATTTTAATTTACATAGCGATTTCCCATTTACTATCTCACTTAACCATTGTGAAAATCCTATGAAATAAAGTGAGCAGTACTTTTATCAACACAATCCAGACCAGCTCAGAAAGTTAGGTAACCTACCAACCTTTATTCTGGAATGTGAGTCACAGAAATTGAACTGTACTAATCAAGTAAGATATATCTCTCAAAGGGAAGAAAAAAGCTTTAGTGTTTTAAAATAATATAGGCAAAGAAGTAAAATATAAAAGATTTCTACTACAGAATCATTTCATACCCACACAAATTGGCCGTATTTGTCTAGGTACTACCATCCCTCTTCCAAAGATCAATAAAAACATAATCTAGAACGCATAAAATGTTCCCGGTAAATAATTTCTTACCATTATCATTTATGTTAAGAATACACAACAAAAATCACAGCTCATGATAATACAATTAATAGGCAGTAGCGGTCAGAACATTAAATTCTCTATCATTACATCATAGAAATCCTTGTACAAACTTCTCCAGAAGATCAGTCAGTGCAGTCTCTACAAAATTTCTGACAACAGCCCCAAAGGAGAATTGAAAGACACTGAAGTTAAGAAAAGGAGGTGTCTTGCCGTGATAGGTAAACTGTGTCAGAGCCTATATGAGATTTTTGCATGATCTGCATAAAAACAAAGATAATACTTTAAACCTACTGGAGGTCATTAAGTAATCTTAGTGTGACACAGGGCCACATAAGGCTTCTTGGAATTTTAGAGATTAAGCCGATCCCCAGGTTTTACTGCAAGTACCTCCGCTGTAATAGAACAGGGGCCAGGAGAGTGTCAGAAATTTGTAAGAGGTAGAAAATCCTGCCCCTCATAAAGTAGTAAGATATACGTGAAGGGTTTTTGCAAAAGATCAACGGAGCTAAGGCCCCATTCCCTTGGCCACCAACGCTTTAGATGGCACTTACACGCCTGAATTTTGTTTAGAAGCGAATGCATTTAGTATCATGTATTAGTGGCTGGGGAGGGCAAGAACCAAACTGAAAGGTCCTGAGAAACAGCTTGGTCATCAGCAGGGAGAATCTTCTCCACTTACTCTGAGGTTCTAGATACCGGGGAAGGAAGAAGAGATGGGTACTCTACAGAAGCTTAGAAGAGCTTCCAAGTCCGCGACGATGAGAGCGAATGATAGGAAATCCAGTGTATGGGTTCACTGTACCGGGGTGAACCGTGAGATGTCCCAGATAACCTGGCTACCGCCAGACCGAGACAGAGTCAGCAGCGCCCTAAAACAGTGCTTGAAGTCGAAATCACGGTGCCCCACATCTATATGATCTAAATGGGAGAGCTCCGGAAGAAGCCAAGCCCTGATGACAGTCTCAGGCTTTCGTCCCCAATTTCACGCGCTCGTTTACCTACCCGCTCTGACCCCGGCTTCTCCGGATCTCAGTATCCTGGAAGCGGCTCCTGACCGACTCTCACACCCGCCGCTGGGGTCCGGCCAACCGGAACTCGCCCTCGTCACTTCCGGTCCGTTTCCCACCCCCCATCCCTCCGGGGACCGCCTCCAAGAGACAAAAGTTCCTTTTTCTTTTCTGCAACCTCCGAAGATCTTCGCGGGATTTCAGTTCGGGTCTAGGTTCGGGACCTGTGGGCGGGACGAGAGGAAGAATGACTGTTGTCTTCGCGGTTCTTGATCCGGAACTTATCAAGGAGTCCCGGAAGAGGTAATTCGTGGGCTAGAAGCGTGTTCACTACGCGAGGGGGAAAACGGAGCGGCGCGAGTGAGGCGTTGGTGAGGTTCTCTAGGTAAGTCGGCCCTTCATTGGGAGGTAATTTTGCATTCTCTCTCCAATTGGAATGTTTCTTTCCACCTCATTACATACCTCCTCCCCCGAGCCTTTCACCTCCGTAAACTGTCTTCCGCCCAACTGAACACTGGAGCCACTACTGCTGTTCAGCCAGTAGTCCTTTGGATGAAGGGAGCAAAATCCTAAGAAGGAGAAGAACCCAGAATTTCTTGTTCCCAGGCAGAGCCTTCATTCAGGCAGCATAGATACGCTTGCTCCGAATGTGAGAAAATACCGCGCAGGCCTGTTGAGTATTTATTGAATACCCACAGCGTATGAAATGGAGTCCTACGAGGAAAGGAAAGGTTTCCACGAATATGACCGAAAAATGTGTCTCTCTGTGTAACACAGATATAATGTTCAGAGAAGTGTTTAATCCTGTTAGCCCAGGCACTAGACTCTGAAAATGTGATGTGCAGTCGTTATGTGTAATTGCTACAGCAGTTCTGTAGAGTAAATAATTAAGACTGATTGGGGGATGATAAACACTTGAGATTGGTGTCGTTTGAACCACGCCTTCATGGCTGAAGAGGTTGTGTGTGTTTGTGTTTGTGTATGTAGGTGAAGAAAATAGAAAATAATTCCTGGGAGAGATGGCTCTTTGAAGGGACCTAGTAATGTGGTGTCGCTGGATAGTACAGTATGAAGCAGAAGAGTAGATTAGGAGAAAGTAGGTAGCAACCAAACTGTGTAGTGCTTTGGATTTGTGCTAAGGGATTTGTTTTATATTTTAGGTGTTTATCTGGTAATATTTTTTTAAGTTTATTTATTTATTTTGAGAGAAAGAGCAAGCAGGAGAGGGGCACAGAGAGAGAGAGAGAGAGAATCCCAAGCAGGTTCTGAACTGTCAGTGCAGAGCCCACTGCAGGGCTGGAGATCATGAATGGTGAGATCATGACCTGAGCCAAAATCAGAAGTAGGTTGCTAAACCGACTGAGCCACCCAGGCACCTCCATCTGGTGGTTTTTGAGCAGAAAAATTACAGGATCAGATTTGTGTTTTACAAGTATAATTTTAGGGGTGCCTGGATGGCTCAGTCTCTTAAGCTTCAGACTCTTGATTACAGCTTAGGTCATGAGCTCACAGTTTGTGAGTTTGAGGTCTGCATGTGGCTCTCCCAGGAGCTTGCTTGGGTTTCTCTTTCTCCCTCTCTCCCCCCCACCCCCCAAATAAATAAACTTTAAAAAAAAAGTATAATTTTAATGGCAGATGGACTAGGATGAACTAGGATATGCATGAAGCAAATGAGGAAAGATCAGAGATAGAGAAGTAATTTGAAGGCTTTTGGCCAAGACATCGATAGGGCACTGGTAGCAAGGATAAGGAGATAGGTTGAACACAGATAAATTCAACAAGGTTTGGTGACTGGATGTGGTAGGCCAGTGGAGAAAAAGTCCAGGGTTACTAAGAAGTCAAGAATACAGAAAAAGGTGGGCCACATGGATGGCTCAGTGGTTGAGCTTCAAACTCTTGATTTCAGCTCAGGTCATGATCTCTTTGTGGGAGCAAGCCCTGTATAGGGCTCTGCACTGACAAGTGGGGAGCATGCTTGGGATTCTCTCTCTCTCTCTCTCTCTCAATAAATAAATAATAATGAAAAAAAAAAAGAATACAGAAAAAGGAAATTTTAGAGGGAAAGGAAAATACTGAGTTCAGTGTAGGATACAGATTAGAATACTCTATAGTATTCTAGTAGAAGCTGGAAATTCCAGTTTGGAGCCCAGGAGAGGTGTCTGGAGTCCTCAGCATATGACAATTTGGGAATAAATGGGATTTGCTCTCTCCTGTATTAGATGTCAGCTCCATGAAGAGTAGGACTTTGTTTAGTTCAGTGCTCTATCTCTAAGGTCCAGAACAGTGCCTGGTGCACAATAGGCCTTCCATAAATATCAACTTATTGGATGAAAAGAGAGTTTATAGACCATCACTGTCCAATAGAACTTTCATGGAAATATTCTGTAGCTCAGAGTGACCGTTAGCCACTTTTAAGTTGTTGAGCTATTGGGCACTTGAAATGTGGCTAAGTGCACCTGAAGAATTGAATTTTTATTTAGTTTTAATTAAGTTTAAATAACTGTGTTGACTAATGGATACTGTATTGGATGATGTAGGCATAGACTGAAAAGAAGGATAAACGTGTAAGCAGGTGCAATACATACATCAGGGGCAAACATCAGAGCTAGAGGAGACTGGAAAAAAAACTATCAGAAAGGTGGGATGATAATAGGGTGAAAGTTAGATTAAAGAATTAGAGGGAGGAAAGTTTAAAGAAACGTTATCATCAGTGAGTGGTGGGGAAAACTCAAGAAGAGGCCTAAAAGGAGGCAACTACATTTGGCAATTAACAAGTGTCTAATTCCTTAGCAATATCAGTTGAATGGGGAAAGGAGGCAGGTAATTAAAGAAGTTTAGAGGTAAAAGGAAAAAGAAGTCAGACAGTGGTCCAAGGGTCAAAAAGGATTGGGGAAATTTTTTTTTTTTTTTTTTTTTTTTTTTAGGTTAGAAAAGCCAAGGTATAGCCCCAGGGAGTACGATTAATGGGTGGGGAGCACGGTTCCGGAGGGAATGGGATCAAGAACATTGGTGAAAGGGGCTTAGTCTGGGAGGAATTAGAACACACCAGGAGGAGGGTTTTTACAGGACGTGTTTGTTTTGCAATGCCACCATTGCCCAGGATTATCCATGAGACTAAGAATAGTTATGTTTACCTTAGTCTCAATCACTGGGTTTTTGATATGTGTGTGGTGTATATGCAGAAAGGGAAAGAGGCTGAAACACCTTTTGGAGGAGTTAGATGATAATGTAATCAGGCTGATTAGGTGATTAGAACATCCTAAAGAATAAAAATGTTAGTTATTAATGGTATTAATATGGTAGAATTAGAGACCTTATGGTACAGAAGCAATGAACTTTGTAATTTCTAGAACTTTTTCTTCTTTCGTTTTTTTCTCTTACTGGTATGTTTGTTTTTTGGTGGTTATTTTTGGTTTGTTTAGTTTTTGTTGCTGTTGAGAGAGAGAGTGAGAGTGAGGGAGTGGCAGAGGGAGATAGAGAGAAGAGAATCTTAAGCAGGCTGCATGCTCATGAACTGTGAGATCATGACCTGAGCCGAAATCAAGAGGCAGGACACTCAACCAACTGAGCCACCCAGGAACCTGGTATATGTCTGTTTTTAGATAAAGTTCAGAAAGTGAGAAGCTTTCTGTCAGGATCTCTAGATGAGTATATTTTATACTACTTTTATTAGTTATATTACTGTGGATAAGCAGGTTCTCTTTTAGATCCTTATTTTTCTCATCTTTAAAATGAGGCTCATGCCTTTTTTAATTTTCATAGCAACCATAATGGAAGTAAAGGGGTTAGCAAGTTATACAACACATAATAGGTCCTCTATATGTGGTTCCCATCTCCAGATAGTACCTGAATCTGGTATATAGGATATTTGGTTACTTTGCAACCTAGAAATGGGTGCAGAAAATCCTTCTAATTGTTGACATGGAGGTTATGAATATAATTTTTACATAATTGAGTATTTATTCACTTTGGAATCTAGTTGTTAGATTATGAAAGAGAAATCCTGATATGTAAGCCTCATGTAGTAACTAAATGATAGATGCATTCTGAGAAAATGTGGGTTCTAATAAGAATTTAATTTTTTTTTCTGACTGTAAAGAAGGCATCTAGAGCCATAAAGTACTATGTCAGTACAGCCCTGTCACCATTATTAGTCATACCAGTGAAAGAGGACTGAAACTAGGTACTGACAGCTTACACGTGTGACCCTCTTGCCTCTGGCCATTCCGTGTCACTCTCCTTTGATCCCTCAATGTTTGTTTCTTAAATCTGTATTTCTGTGTTAAGTGACAGAAGCTTGAAACAAAAGGCCACATATTGAATGGTTTGATTTATATGAATGTCCAGAATAGGCAAAATAGATTAGCAAATGCCAGGGACCTGGGGGTAGAGAAAATGGGAAGCAACTGCCAATAGTTACACAGGTTTCTTTTTTTTTTTGCATGCACAAGCAGGGGAGTGGAGCAAAGGGAGAGAGAGAGAATCCCAGGCAGGCTCCCTGTTCAGCATGGAACCCAGTGCAGGGCTCAATCCCATGACCCTGAGATCATGACCTGAGCTGAAATTGAGTTGGAAGCTCAGCAAACTGAGCCACTCAGGAGCCCCAAGGGATTGCTTTTTGAGGCAGTGAAAGTGTTCTGGGATTAGATAGTACTTATGGTTGTACAAACTTCTGGATATATTAAAAAACCACTAAATTGTACACTTTAAAAAGATGAATTTTTATAGTATGCAGTATCTCAAGAAATTTAACATCCCCTATGGTATCCTTATTTTTAAAATTTTTAAAGATTTTATTATTTTTTTTTAATGTTTATTTATATTTGAGAGAGAGTGTGCGTTAGCAAGGGAGGGGCAGAAAGAGACGGAGACAGAATCTGAAGCAGGCTCCAGGCTCTGAGCTGTCAGCACAGAGCCTGAGGTGGCCATGAGATCAAGACCAAGCCGTAGTCAAGACACTTAACTGAGCCACCCAGGCTCTCCAAGATTTTATTTTTAAGTAACCTCCGCACCCAGTGTGGGGCTTGAACCCACAACCCTGAGATCAAGAGGCACGTGCTGTACCAACTGAGTCAGCCAATCGCCCCATTCTCATTTAAAATATTTGTGATAAAGTATTTCCAAGACTGCCATCTATGCCATGTAGATTATCCGAGGGCACTTACTTATAAGCACTACAAATATGGTAGTCCCATGTATTTCAATATATAAATGGTTAGATGCTGTTCCACTAGAAGAAACTGATGGTTATTTGTGCCTATAAATGGAAGCATTCTGAATGTAACAGCCTCAGCTGTAGACTGATACGGGTGTTTTATTGGTGATTCAAATACCATGAATAGCTTTGCTAAGGTAACAGGAATTTCTAAAATAAAGAATAAAGGATGATCTTCCTTTGTTTTATATGATAGTTACACTTCTGGTAAATTCAGTGTATATTAGAACTATGCAAAAAATATTTTGTGTCCATGTGTATAATGAAGTTAGCTTCTGGTCTCAGTGATTGATGGTTTTTTACCTATAATTATTTCCAGCGGGAAAATCTTTGCTTTGTAAGACTTTTAGCATTCCATGCTTAGGTCTAGTAAATGTCAGCAGCACGCCTCACTCCAGGCCCATTGCTGTGACAACTAGGAACTTCTCTGAGGGGTTGGTACCATCCCCATTGAGAACCACTGCATTATGAAGACACAAATAAGCACTATATTCCAGAGAAGGGATGAGTTATTCTTGGTTTCTTTACATCCTTTAGACAGCATGATAAAATAGAATATTTCCTTTGTCTACAAGACTTAGGGGGAAGACAGAGGAACAGAGCTTTATGGTATCCCAAGAACTAGATACTCCTTGAGATTCAGAATGATTGTAACTGCTTTACCTGAATTCTTGAATCTTTTCTAGTACAAAGGGAAGAAAAAACAGTACATTAAGATCCAAAATAATATTTTGCTTTTTTTCTGGATGACTTCATAATGGTTTTTAAATGTTGCCACTTATTTACCTAAATCAAGGTGTTTTGTCTGATAAGCCTGTAATTTTTCACTGCTATAGTGATAACTTTTTTTCCTTTCAGATGCTCTCCAAATCCTTGGTGATGGAATATTTGGCTCATCCTGGTGCACTTAGCGTGGCTGCCGGAGTTGCTTGTGGCATGTGCCTGGGTTGGGGTCTCCGTGTACGCTTTGGGATGACTCCCAAAAGCTCAGTGAGCGAGATAGACACAGAGACTGGAAGTGAAGCAAGCATCTTAGGAGAAAGTGGGGAGTACAAAATGATTCTTGTGGTTCGAAATGACTTGAAGATGGGAAAAGGGAAAGTAGCTGCCCAGTGCTCTCATGCTGCTGTTTCTGCCTACAAGCAAATTCAAAGAAGAAACCCTGAATTGCTCAAACAATGGGAATACTGTGGCCAGCCCAAAGTGGTGGTCAAAGCTCCTGATGAAGAAACTCTGGTTGAATTATTGACCCATGCAAAAATGCTAGGACTGACTGTAAGTTTGATCCAAGATGCTGGACGTACTCAAATTGCACCTGGTTCTAGAACTGTCCTGGGAATTGGGCCAGGACCAGCAGATCTAATTGACAAAGTCACTGGTCACCTAAAACTTTACTAGGTGGAATTTTGTATGATGATTGTCCCACCACAATGTGTTTTGAAACTGTCAAATTCTAACAATAAAACTGAAATTCTCCCCCTACTTTAAGTATTTTTGAGATCAAAATCAATCTGTTCCCATGTTTTTATCAGGTACTTGGCTCAGTTATCTTGGCTTAAAAAAAAAAAAAAAAAAAAAAGTCAAATGGTCCTGATGTTTCAAGTGATAGCTGCTGAAACAAAAAAATGTTTGAGAAACTGGTCACAACCAAATTGGATTACAGGGGCGGGGGGGGGGGGCAGCATTTCCTGTGCATGGTTACGTCCCTGTGTAATGGCTTTTCTTCCCCAAGACAACGCTGCTATACCCCATTGAAGGATCAGGGTTCAAGGTATTCTCATTGGATGCAAACTGCAGTTTGTTTTCCTGCCATCACTTTTTGGATGACTGATAGCCAACATTAATAGATCATGGTATAGCCCCACACAGCGGATTTACAGTCTAACCTTCTGGATTAACCCACCTGTGCAGTATTTCATGTTCATTTCCCTGACCCACACTGGCCAAAGATTTCTCAGTAGTGCTTCTACATCATAGCCTATAAAAAATTCCTTTTACTTCCCCACAACTTCCCTAATAGTGCAGGCATTGAAAAACTTGCAGAGTGACTTGTATGGACTTTGAAGGTAGTACTAGGCCCACAGAAGAATCTACGGAAATGGTGAAGTGAATGTGGTGTGTCATCCAACATCTTACTGTTTCTTTACCTAGAACTTAAGGAACTAGATAGTTCAATTATTTAAGGGCATCTTTATTTCCCTTTTGATATATGGTTATCATGACATAATTCCAATAGTTACTGTTACACCACCTGCCCAGGATAGGAGGGAGGTTCCGGTTCACAAAAGCAACATAGCTTTTTGAATGAAAGTCTTTTGGGGGACCCTGATAGTATTTCTAAATTGAGTACATCCCAAAGAACTAATGATGCCAGAGAGAATTTTGGCAACAGGTGCATGTGAAGTAGCTCCAATTCTCCACGATTAACTTTCAGTAATTAGCATTACTTAGCATTGAACTTCAAACATCTGCAGCACGATAACACTTCAAGGTCTAAGGTCAGTGGAGTCTGGGTAAAACAATAAAGACTACTGCACTCAGTCACAGTTTGTACTATTTGGTCAGTTTTATAGAGTTTACACTGGCATATGACAGCACAGGAGAAACTGCATCTGTGAATGATGCCACAGTAGCAACTGCTTCTAAATAGAATGTTTACACTAGATTCAAAAGTGATGCAACAGCATGTAATTGAGGCAAAGAGAACTTAATCCTAAATGCACCATTCTGGCTCATGTAATTTCTGAGGCTTGCCTCAGAGACTGATGGCTCCAAGTTCAAAGACAGTGCATTCCCAACAGGATGGCCAGCTGACTCAAGTAACTCTAAGTCATGGTATATCTACCAGGATGAATAGTATACAAATTCTAATTCCAGAAATATATTATGCTTATTTCCTACTTCACCTGTACTTAGTATTTATTTTATAGGGTGCTTAATCTTACAGTTCTCAAGGTATACTCTGCAAAGCCCATAGGGTCTTTAAGATACTTTCAAGGGGTCAGATATTTTCGTAATGCTAAGATTTTTTTTTTTTTTTTTTTTTTTTTTGCTGTGTTGACATTTGCACGGATAACACAAAAGCAAAAGCAAAGGTGGATAAAACCTCTGGCATCTTTCACAAATCAAGGCAGGGGCACCCTACCTATACAAGTAGTACTTCATTGCCCAATAGTGTCTCTCTCTCTCTCTCTCTCTCTCTCTCTCTCTCTCTCTCTCTCACACACACACACACACACACACACACACACACACACGATTCACTTAATGTCCTTGATAAAGCAGTAAAAAAAAAAAATTATTAAATTTGACCCTTCACTACTTTTGTCTTAATATTCTAACACTGAACACTTCTGGTACACACTGAAGTATGAATGTTGTCCTGAGAGAAAAAAAATGTGTGGCTGAGTTGTGAGCTGAACTAGCAGCCTTGGTCATGGAAGAGTTTTACTTGTAAAAACTGACAAATTAAGTATCCAATTAGCCAATCATTTTAAGAAAAGCAACAGACCGTATTCTGGAAAACTTCTATCTACCTCTCCTCCAAGTTTCCCAAAACCTAAGATTTTTCTGATGAGATTAGTGTTCCTCACAGATAGGATTTTTAAAGATATGTGTCAACATTTAGAAAATCTGCACAACTTAATGAATCTATTTTCCATATAACCAATGCATGAGGGTACAAATCATGCATAGATAAAAGATCTATTCAAACTAAAGACACTAATGGATTTTAATATAATGTTAAAGTTCAGTGTTACGGTTTCAGATTCCACATTTCAACTAACTACAAGTATCTGAAAAGGCTATTAAAATACTTTCCTAATTATACATCTTCGTGAGGCTAGACTTTATTCACATACTTTTTAAAAAAAGTAGTAACAGTGAATGCAAACAGAATCCAGCAGTCTTCTGTGAAGAAAAACTTTGAAGAGACTTGTAAAAAACAGTGCAATTCCATTTTTCTCATTTAAGAAATAAGGCTAATATATAATTGTTTATGTTTACATGCAATGAGTTTAATAGTTACATTTAAATAAATTTTTAAAATTTGTTTTTACAGAACATTCAAGCAGCCCTGCTTGGAGCTCATATCATTCTGTTGCTATTGTACTAATGTCTATGTTGAAATAGTTAACAAATATCAGATTTTTTTTTTTTTTTTTTGTACAATGGCTATATTTGGATACTAGGGCAAAAGATCACTGAAGGTATGTTTACCTCCTGAGAGGTTTTCCATTACTCTCTTCTCTCCTGTTTCAGTTACATTTAGACAATTATAAGAATTCTTAATACTGTTTCCTGTTTTAGGTTACTTCTCCCAGACCATCATCCTATTCAGAGTAATGTCATGGAAGATCCCTTAAAATAAAGTTTATTACCAATTTGTTCTACCACTTATGTACAACACCCACTGCCAAGTCTTAAGGTAGGCATTTTGTGATTTAAACATCCTCCTGCAAATAATTCTGGAAAGTACTCATCATGTTAATACACACAAGGGAACATATTCAGAGGTTCACAAAGTATAGGAAAGGTCCAGAAGAACACATCTCGACTGAAAAGGATTAAGCTCCCAAGGACCACTGCTATTCTCCCTGTTGATTTTGATTAACAACGAAGGCAGGGAGGCAGAGATCCACAGCAGAAGCATAAGTACAGCTGAATGTTTTCACTATGACAAACCAAAACAGGAGAAGGGATTTTCTAGTTAATACTATAATTTTAGGGGTAGGATGATTAAAAGTGGGGCAGGGCAGGGGTTCTATGTTTAAAAAACAAAAAACAAAAAAACCTGTGCTGCTTATGGTCATTTGCCTGGTCGGTGTGGAGAATTATAGGGCAATACAAGGCTAGGTTTGGTGGAGGACTGGGTTTAATCCTCTAACTCTTTTGAGGATTAAAAAGTGAAATGAACTTAAAGTAACAGTCTCAGCCATGAACAAAAAGGGTTGAATTCAAACACTGGCTTAAAAAAATTCCACTTAAAAGTACTCATACTTTGGGGCCCTTTTTTCATGGTGAGGCACAGTATGTTAACTACATGCTTATATACTTTGATCGCAAGTTGACAGAATACCCATATCTGTTCATTTAAGTGAAATGCTTAGGTAAAAACCCTGAAGTGCCACTTGGTTAAAATGATGGGAGACAGCCAAAATGTGGCCTACTACAATCCTCTTCAGACTGCTGCATGTACCTTGTTAACCACAGGAATGTACATGATGTAATGCTGTGTATTTCCCTATCCCAATCCTCATTCTGCTTTTGCACTCACACCTCCCTGTACCGCCTCAATACCCAATATAAAACTACCACAACCACGGTTCTTTGGTTAAAATTTGAAAGGTATTTAATTAAAACTGCCATTCTACGTTATTTCCACAGTCCAGTAATTTATTTTAAATTTGAGTAATTTCAAATTCCACAAACAAAACTGAAGAACAGCAATATTTTGTTTGAATTCTCTCTTCTGTACACTCAGTGATCTAAAACACCACAATATCCAACATACACAAACCTCAGGGAAGGGTTAGTAAATACACACAGATTGGAATCATGGTGCTCTTTGTTCCTGAATGGAATGGTCCCACAGAAAAAGCACAGGATACAGCACAACATAAGGGCACCTGTTACATATGAAGTGAGCAAAAACACACTAGCATTTTCTATATGCATAATGAGGAAACCTGCATAGGTTAGAGGGCCTTTTATGCTCATTTAAAAGTCAGGCAATTTGTCTGTAATGCATTTTTCAAATAATTTGGAGAGCACTGCTATCCAATGTAGGATGTGCTGATTAGTGTTGTCTTTGTTGGCATTGACAGTCTTACATGGTCACATACCAATACTTTTGCTGTAGCTTTTGAGTAAGAGATTTAAATGCATTTTAGACAATACATATCATAAGCTGTTTACATACACTAAATTTAAGAGATTCAATATTAGAGTTTTTTTTTCTTTAAACACTACAGAGTGCAAATCAGGTTCTTCACAACAGATTGAGTATTAAGCAGTTCTTCAAAGAATGAGGGGGAAGAAAAAAAGCCCAACTGAATAAACATTGAAACTATTCCCCTTTGAAAATAAATTCTAAAATGATGCGGAATGTGAAATAAGCTTTTAACACAGGTGATCCGAGTTTATAGTTAGAAACAAAAAGTAGTCCTTCATGAAATAAAGGTTACAAGAACATGTGCCTGTTTTCCCATTATAAACTGAGAAGCGGGTAGAGACGATGTTTCAGTACGAAAATAGGCGACTACAGGATCAGCTTTCTGTCTCACATACTGTACCCAAAGCCAGGCTGTGGCTGCCCATAGGGTGGTGCAGTATAACCATAGCCAAAAGGTGCCTGGGGAGGGACTGCAACACTGGGTCCTGCTGTCAGCATCAACTGGGGCTGACCTAAAGAAGAAAAACAAGAAAGGGTAGGGGGTGGAGGGGCGGGCAGGAGGTGGGACAAATTGTTAGCAGTGTAGACTATC